TAGGGGTTTAGGGGTTTAGAGGCTTGGGGGTCTAGCGGTTTAGAGGTTTAGGGGTTTAGGGGTTTGGGGGTTGAGGGGGTTTAGGGGTTTAGGGGTTGGGGGGGTCTAGTGGTTTAGGGGTTAGGGGGTTTAGGGGATTGGGGGTTTAGGGGTTTACGGCTTTGGGGGTTTAGGGGTTTAGGGGTTAGGTGTTTAGGGTTAAGGGTATTGGGCTTAGGCTTGCACAGTAGGTTGTACAAATTGTGGTCCTTCCCCAGGCTCCACTTTCTTGACAATGACAACCTACTATGTAAGGGTTGCGCAAGGATAAACGGTACATTCCATATATGGCGAGGTATAATCATCTCTACTGGATTCCATTTCATTTTCCTGTTCTTTTCCATTTTCTGATTCTCCATGATTCGAGATCAGATCCCTTTGAAAAATCTAGATATAACCATACAACCCCTATGTAACCCCATATAATGCCTATTGTCATGAATTTAAGCCAATCCCAAAACAGGGGCCGAAGGAATGACAGCAAGCATTTACCCAGCGAAAGCACAGGCGTAGCTTGCTGCATGGGCTTGTTGCGGGAGCCAGGTTTGTCAGGACCTGGACGCTTCCGCGTAAATTTTGGGGAGTGTATAGGAATGTTGAAAATAGTATCATAGTAAAAGTAGAATTTACCCGGGTTAGCGTACTTATAGCAATGTGCAAACTACACATGAACCTGCAACCTTCAAGCACACACTATGCAAGCACTCCGCCTGACAGGAATCTGCGCCAACGCTTCCGGCAGGTGCCCAGGAACCCGTGGGGCAGTGACGGCAACGAATGCTCTCAAAGCGCACCTGCTCTCAGCAAGTGGATACGATCGGCAAACTTGACTGCCTCCACTGCTTCTCGTCACGCTTGCTCCCAACACTACTGTAGTATCCATACACTACTACTGCAAATTCGACGGCTGCTTCTTCTACTGCGACTGCGGCTATGCCACTGCCGCAGCCTCCTGCTGCTGCTGCCGCGGTCGCTGCTGCTGCTTCTACCACTATCAGTACCACTACCACTACCGACCTTTAACACTGCTGCTGCTACTACTGCTATTACTACGACTCCTCCTCCTCCAACTACTACTTCTTCTTCTACATCTTTTTCTATTACTACTAGTACTATTACTACAAGTACTACTACCATTACTACTACTACTACTACTACTACCACCACCGCAACCCCGGAAACATGAAAAATGAGCAGTTCCACGATTGTCCCGGGGCACGAGGGGTACGACTGCAACGACGACCACGACGACCACGACGACCACGACGACGACGACGACGACGACGACGACGTCCTCCTCCTCTCCGTCCTCCTCCTCCTCCTCCTCCTCCTCCTCAATTCGAACCGGTGCGGCCATCATAAGGAATCAATACTGGCATCATGCCACCACTGAGCCACGTGCCTCTGCATACCTTGGCAAGCACATGAGACTGACTAATCACAGAAACCTGCCCCCCCACCCCCCGATGTCAAATGTTGACACGAAGATATGGTGGTGCTATAACGGATTTCTGGGGAGGTCATGATTACGGGGAGGGGGAGTTGTTCGCTGAAGGGCTGGTGGCTGTTGAATCAGAGGTCTGTTGTTCAAGCCCGTGAAAGCAAGATCCTGATATTCCACAAGGAGAAATAGAAAGGAAGTGTCCATTTAGCCCCACAGGATTTTTGGGTGGGGCATGCTCACATGCTTCGTGATGCTATACATACAGGGGCATGAATAAGTATATATATATATATATGTATATACAAGCAGGGCCCTAGACGTAGAACTATGAGAAGATGCTTTGTAACTTCAACCTTGCTAGGCTGAGACGTCAGGTCTGCCTGCAAAATTCGTGCAATGCTCTCAGTACCCCTTTTCATAACTGTTGCCAGCACCTGGGATCAAAAAACAGAAGATTTGATATGATACTCGTTTGGGACTTGCCTGGAAACTGACAAAGCATGTTCAGTGTCCTTACTCATCATCACCATCCTTCCTAATATGCTCATAAGATCACAAAGTGCGACTGCTGTGACTCGTTCTGGCTCGAACTACTATTCTTATCCCCACACCTAAACCCTAAACCCTAAAACCCTACACCCTAAAACCCTACACCTGGACCCTAAACCCTAAAACCCTAAACCCTTAACCCTTATGGATAGACTTGACCCATGCCAAGACGCATGTCACGTCCACAGGTTTGACAGCGATGGCTGCCAGGACTACTCAGCACCTTCGAGGGTTTAGGGTTTGGGGTTTAGGATTTAGGGCTTTAGGCTTAGGGTTTAAAATGTAGGGTCTAAGGTCCAGGGTTTTAGGATTTAGGGCTTGGGGTTTTAGAATTTATGCTTTTTCGGGTTGAGAGGACCCCTTTTCAGGATTGTAAGAAGTAATGACATTGTAGGGTCCCTACCAAGAATTCTGTTCGAACTATTTGAGACATTCCAACTCCTCATGGGACCCCACATTGGGTTGAGATGTACCTTGACAGGGGCGTGTTAAGGTTTAGTGTTTAGGGTTTTGGGTTTAGGGATTGATATTTGAAGGGCCCCTGTTACAGATTATGTATTGGGTTGTGTTTGAGAATCTCCACTTCTTGATATTGTATTTTCCCTAAATAAGGGGACCCCCACATAAACCCCAAAACACCAGAGTCCTCATTATAGGGACACCCAAGATGGCACTCCTAATTTTGGGAAAGCCGCATATGGGTTCAGGTCTACGACTAGGTCTAAGCCTAAGCTTATCCCTGGAAGAACCCCAAGGATTACGGCTGTGCATTATCTTAGTGGTCTTTAGTACCGAATACGGGAACATATGATGCTAGGATTACATTGGAATTACATTCGCTTATTCCCTACTAAGAACCAATAAGTTAGGCTTTAAAGTTTCGGAGTTCAGGATGTGTGGCTTTAGACATTCCTGGGATACTGAGCAGGGCTACAAGTCTCCTAATGTGATTTTGACTCCAAGCTAGGTTGTACGCTTTGAGGTTTCGGGTTCAGGGTGAAAGTATTATAGTCCCCCTTAAGTAGCTAGAATATGGGGTATATGGGGCCCTTATTATAACATACCCAAAACCATAGTCTATCTACTTAAGGGGACCCTAAACCCTAAACCCTAAATAGTAGTTTCCATTTTCTTTTCCATGATCCCAATACAACCCCCCAAATCTATCTACTTAAAGGGGATTATAACCCTAAACCTCTGAACCCGAAACCCTTAACCATTAGCCCTAAGCCAACGTAAAAGCCCATGCACAAAACTCATCCGACACAAAGATTTGACAAGCAAGTTTCCAGACCTGCAAGTACCCCGCGGTTTAGGGTTTAGGGTTGTAGTAGTTTCCATTTTCCTTTCCATTATCCCAATATAACCCCAATAGTACCCCCATTATAGTAGTTTCCATTCTCTCTTNNCATTCTCCCAATATATACCCAATATTACCCCAATTGTACATTCTTGGGTGTGCATGACGACTATGCCCAAGTCTCATGAAAGGTATTGACAGAAGCATTGCAGCCCAAAGATTCGGAACTTCCGCCAGAGTTGTTCTTGTGCTTCAGGGCTGTAGGGCAAGCTTTCTATGAACAACCACGAAAGGCCGGAATTCAGCGTTTTGTGGCGGGCATACATTTAGGGGCAACTGCTGACACTGGTGCTGCTTCTGGTGCTAGGACAAAGGAAAAGGATATGGAGGAACTGTGGTGGTAGTAGGGGGACGGGGCACGGGCAATGATGACTCCGCCCCCATAATAAGGAAATCACTGGTGAAGCACGAAAGCAAATCAAAGTAGACCAGGTCCCAACCAAACCCAACGTCCAATCAAAAAAACACAGGCCAAAAAAACTCAACCTGGAAGCCCCCGAGGCTGCCGGAGGCCCCCGAGGCTCTCGGAGGCCCCCGAAGGCCCCCAGAAGCCTCACCTGCAGCGGCAGGCCCGTTGAATAATGATAGAGGCGGAGGAATTGAGAGCGTCAGCCGGAAACCCGAAAAGGA